GAAATTTTTAGTAAATAGTTTAGTAAATATAGTAAAATACAGCCTCTTAAATGAAGAAGTTAAACATTTTTTCAACCATCTACATTTTCTTTAGAAGAAGCTAGTTAGAAACCTTACTGTGAAGGTTTATACTGTTTCTATGATTATATTCATAAAGTGGAAATTCTTCAAAACATTTGAAAGTCTTTTTTCCATTTTCTATTACTAGGGAAATTTACTTGTTAAGGAGAGATTTTATTTATTCAATTCTAAGGAAGACACATTCCTTTGTGAGCATGAATTACCTCATAGATGTATCATGCATGCTTCAATTGGTGTCTTAGGCTACTGTAAGTGATTTTCTAAGTATTTGAAGGGAATGCTTTTGGTTTCAAGCTCAGGATAGAATTTTCTTATTTCTCAGAATGACTAGACCTTCAAAACCAAATTAATTTTTTATATTAAGAGAATTCTAATACACAGTAGCAAAATTAGCCTACTTTCTAAAGAGATACTCCTAAAACTGATTCACTGCCATCTTCATGATTATTGTAGTCTGGTCATATTTATAAGACATTATCTAGCAACATTCTCAGGATATTACATAATTACTTTAAATAAAACAGTAAATAAACGCATTAGTAATATAAACAAATTCATAATGTCAAATACAGAAGGTTCAAGCAATATTCTGCATACAAGAACTAAAAGATATTGAAAGCTGCCCAAAGAAAGTAAACTCTACAAATAAACTGATGTTTTACTCATTTAAGGACTAATGTTCCAGCTCTTATTCCCCATTTATTCAAAGCTGGTTGCTTCAATCTGGATACCTTTTATATTTTTCAGTGTTAGATATTAAAGTATGATGTATCACATGATCATGTCAGGGTTTCTCTCTTAGCTGTATAGATATATAAAGTTTTAGGCAAGGTAACATAGGAAGTTTAGCAGAAATCAAAGTTGGTCATGGTTTTCAGAGAGATAGCTTTATCAAGACATAATGAAGTAATAAACAGAAAAACAAATTGTGTACAACTAAAAATACTCTAAAAACTCATTTTGCAAGAACCTTAGGAGAAGAAGAATAAGACAATTTATACTCTAAATTCCTCAGGGGATTCCAAAATGAAGAGCGATGTGTAATATATACTCTATCTGTATGATCGTTCCACACATGAAGGCTCAATAGTAATACCATGAGCAGGTGGACTGTGTGTGTGTGTGTGTGTGTGTGTGTGTGAGGTTTTTGGTGGTATAAGACAGAGTAGGTAGAGAAAACAATGTAAAAAGAAAGAATAAAATTATAAAGGTAGAAGAGCTCAGGGGAATGACTCTTAAACACATGCTTCCAATGAAGAAAATCTGAAACCATCCCCAGAAAAAGGAGCAGCTCTCGTTTTCTTAAGCTCTAAGACAAAGATAATTTCACAGACCTTATTACAGACTCTGCAGGTCAGATCATCTCCACAACTCTCCATGGCAGGGCACAATCAACTGTAGATTATATGGCCATGTTTCAATAAAATTTTATTTTTGGACTCTGAAATTTGAATTTTGTATAATTTTCAAATGCTATGAAATGTTCTTCTTTTGATTTTTTTCAATCCAGTTTGAAAATCATTCTTAGCTTATGGACTAAGAGAACAGAATTTGGGTTGATGTGTAGTTTGCCATCTCTTGAGTTATAGTATTCACTTAATAAATATAAAAGCATAAATTAGCCTCCAATTTTCTATTAAAATTATAAGAAAGTTCAGAACTAATGGTGGGATGAAAATATTGACATTAAAAGGTCTAAAACAATCACAATTATCTAATTCATTATTTATATTAGCCCTATTTCATACTAGCCCTATTCAGGCACTTAGGAATTTCTTAACATTTAAAAAATCACTCTTCAAAAGGTTTAGTACTTCCCGAATTTAGATATTTTCATAATACTTATGGAAAATAATTTTAAGTGATAATTCTTCTATTGACTGATTTTTCACTTCAAATATCATATTCCTTTATTTTTGTTAGCATACCAAATCTTTATAATTATCACATTCCTTCTATTTTGTCACTTCTCATCTTAACTTCACATATATACCAATAAACTGTCTTTCACAAGCCATAATTCCTTTTATTGTTTTCCAAAGCCTATAGATAAATAACATATTTGGTTACCTAAAATTTATCTGCATATATATTTGTAGCAGAACTGAAATTTACTACAACATTACACAGACTATATATGTGGATGAAATGCAAAATTGTGGCTTATGAATATTTTTACTCTTGTCTTTTCTGTTGTAACTTCATGAGCATTTATCACTTTTTTCTGAATATTTCATTTCAGATTTCCTTAAACTTCTTCCTCTTCAGGTACTTAGTTTCTTTGCAAGTTTACCTTGATTATATTATCTAAACAAAGTATTGGTCTACATTATCTTTATGGTTTTAAATTCTCGACACTGCACTCACTGGCCTTCAATCTTGTGCATCACTTTTAATATTTTTCCTACTAGGTTCAAATATATGTTTAAATAGGAAATTAACTTTCCTTTATGTGGTTTCATTCTTCAGTCATTATTTTCAACACTCATTATTGTAAGGATAGTGGTAATTTTTACAGTCATTAAATCAGGAAAACTTTGCTTAGTGCAGAATTATAAATTTATTATTAAAATTGCTAAAACCATATTTAGGGTTCAGAATGCTGCTTTGTACAATGCATTGAAAGATGATACACTCTGGATTTAGAAATCGATAATTTAACACATCTTAAACTTTTTTGTTCTAGAACAGTCATTGTAGGATGAAGAATATGTTTTCACATCAGGAATAAAGAAAATGTAATAGTATTCCAAAAATTACATCTTAGAATATTTAACTTTATATCACTGATTATCATTAATAAATAAAGGTGCAGGCCTCTTTCTTTTCTAAAAGATAATATATTTTATATATATCATTTGAAGTATTAATGACTTAATTGAATCCTTATCCCACAGTCTAAATGATGTCTCATTTGCTTCAACTATTAAATAAACTATTTCATTGGCAACATGCTTCTGAATCTTTTATCTTACTGAAATAGGCATCAGTTTTTCCAATGAATTAAAACACTTCTCTTGGGTGTGGATATTTACAATACATTTTCCCAAAATGGAACTGTCATTGTATGTCAATTTATCTAATTTTTTAAAAATCTGTTTTAACATTACATAGTTATGAAAATTATTTTTCTTTTAAGAAATAATTTCTAATATCTAAAACATTTTATGATGTACTTGAGAAACAGGAATTAAACATTTAGCTAAGCATTTGATTTGCAGGGTTGAACGCTCTAGAAAAGATACTATTTGCCTTTGATATTTTTTTACTTGTTTGATTTTTTATCTGGTAGTTAATGAGTATCTTACAATGATATGCCTCATCTTTAATAATTTTTAAGAAAAAGTAGGCAGAACACTGTTTCTGAATGGAATAAAATAAAAGATGATGATGGTGAGATTAGCCATTGTATACAAATATAGGAATTGAAAAAATAAAAAGTGGCATGAAACAATCCAATTTTTATGATTCTGATCCTACACTAATACCTTAACCGTATAGACTTAAGCAAGCATCAACTTACTAGTCTCAGTTTGATTGAAAGAAAAATGTCTCTTGTGACTGGTTAGGGAGGATCATGACACTAAAATAGATACATTAGAATATTTTAGTGGACTTTGGAATGATATTCAGATGTGTTCAAAGTGATTAGTTCATAAAATTAAAGCTAATCATTATATTAAATACAGAGCAATAACCTCTGGGTTATGCTTATGGGTGATCTTTTGAGTTTTTTAAGAAAAGGACTGGCTCACATATAGAGATAAAAAAGTGAGATACTTGCATTAACTTCCTCCTCTTTAAAAACACTTTGAGCTTCTGCAATCATAAATTTAATATAAAGACAGACACATGTAATATAAAGACAGACACATGTGTATATGGTATTTAGTAAAAAAAATCTGAAAATACAGAATTAACATGTCCATAATTTTATTCTATTTTGAAAGCTAAGACTATTTTAGCAAAAACCACAACAGAAATAATCTTTGGAGAAGTAAATCAGAAGCTAAAATTCACAGGGATTTTCTAGAAGCTCCAGGAATGGGATAACAGGACTAAGTCATAAATTATTTACTGCAATAATAGCCTTTTTTTTTTTTTGCCATATTCATTCCCTATACCACTTTAGGAATTGTACTTCCATTTTCTTAAAAAGTTACATTCAGAAGAAGGACCAAATATTCTAAACATCTGAACTATATATCACAAAAAATTGTTAGTACTGCAATATTATGCACACACAATGGGTAATTATAAGGTGCTGTTCTCTTTCAAAGGTTTTCTTTGGTATATTAGCCTAAGCTCAGGTCTTTTAAATATATCACTGGAAAGCATGTTTGGTGAAGACGATCACTGTTAATTTTCTTATTTTAACAAAAAAATCTTATAATAATTCCCAAAGAATCTGAGTTAACATAAGTCTATTAACTCAAGACAACTGTGTCTGTTGGCCAGTTTACTTTTGTTGATACTTAAATACTTGTCATTTTCTTTGATGACTGAAATTGAATCAAGACTGTACCACTGAGATGTACCCATAATTTACAATCCTGCTGATGCATCCAACAAGGGACAGAAGACACTGTCAATGGAAAAGGTCCAATTTTCCTGAGAAGATCCCCAGACAATCACGCTATTGTATAAGAAAAACTAATTTTGAAAGAAGATTTTTATTTCGCATTGGGGCCAAAACATTATTAAAATCAATTACAATGTTAGTGTGGCTGAAGGGTCCTCTACCCTGACAATTTAATCAATAATTCATAAATGTGAGCATGAAGCCGCAGCTAGAAAAGAAACAGGGGAGGGAAGAGACAGAAAGTAAAAAAGATGGAAATGAGAGGACAAACCAATCAGATTTGGAATTACCAGTCAGCAGAAGTTTAGGGAAAAAAAATCACCGAGTGAAATCGTACATTTACTCTGAGAGAGTATCCTTTCACATTGCCTTCTAGGTGATCTCTGAGCTCCTCCAGCTTTCGATGGAGCTACATGTAAACATCAGAAAATGAATTGAAAAAGCAACTTGTTCTCTTTTCAGTTTTCCTCTTAAAAATAAGATCATAGCAATACACATTTCTCACTGCCTTTGGCAAACATTTCAAAACATCAAAGGTCTTTGTATAACATCAAGAATACATGTTCAACAAACCTGTGACTAGAGAGCCAACATTTTCTTGGTTAATTACTGTATCTTTTCTCCCCACAGCATTTGAGAAAATAAATTCTAATACTATTTTCATAAACCCCTAAAGATTCACTTTAGAATTTTCTATTTGGTAGAAACAGGAGTAAAAATACATAACAATTATGAAATTTGTCAAATATACTTTGTTTCCCAAATAAAATTTTTGATTTAAGGTTGCATCTATATTGCAATAAACTAACTGAACTGTAAAACATATCTTTTGTTCTTAAATATATATGCATATACATAACTGTACTGTATACACTTAATAACAATAAACATATTTATAACTTGAAGTTCTTTACATCCATAGCTGATTTTAGAGATAGTTACACACACACACACACACACACACACTCGCACAAACAATCCAGTTTATAGCAGATGGTGCTGCTGTAATGGATACGATTTTCATCTTTATTTTACTATCAATAATCTTCCAAAAGTAATGCTTCATGTATCTTCTCACATGAATCTAAGTCATAATCCATATCTAAAAAATAATGGATTTATTTTCACTTAAAGACAAAGATAAAATCTGGTACCTCACATTCAGACAGTGAGGAATGCTACTGAAGTATCACATTTTTCTGACTGAATAATTTTAACTTTCCTAGTTTCTGAAACAAACACAATCAACACTTCCCCTGTGATTATCCTTAGAAAAATAACATTTTAATAAAATAGCTACCCACTAGAAAGTAGTATTACATAACAGAGAGGATGGCTTTCTGGTATAAAGGACAGAAACATAGAAACACACCTTCATTCATGTGCACTCATGTGTGTGCACACACAAATAAACAAATAAACAACAAAAAAGTAAAACTAAGAAGGCAGAGGAGACAAGGAGAGGAAAGAGTGTAGAATTATTGTTTCATAAATTGTTGAATGGAAATAAATTGGAGTAGTGTAAAATTTTGAAATAACTCAATATTAAGCCTCAAGGTAGTTATAGAATTTGGGGGCATTATCTAGCAGTTTGATTAATTTAATAAGTTATTTCTGCTGTAAGGCCAAATGGGATTGAGAAATGACAAAGTGGTTAATTTTGTTGGGGGGGTTCTTTTGTACATTTTTAGAATACAGCAAATTTTCTAACTTGCATTTATGGTGGCAGCATTAAAGGTGACTAATGACTTCAGTGTGATATGTTGTTTACTTTTTCAATTTGATTAAATATTAGAGGACTAAGTGTCCAAGATATACTGACCAAATGGATATTCAGCAACTAACAAATGGAACCATCAAATTAGAAATTTTTCAGTTATATATTAGCAAATTATATACACAAATTGCAAATATTTAGATATTTGTTTCAGTTGATTGTCATATCAATTTTTTAAACTTTAAAAACATAAAGGGTAGTTAAGAGTACATAAACACTATTACCTAAATGTTGGCTCATTTTACTAGTAATATAAAATTCCTTTCTAATTTTTAAGACTATATATACTCAATACATGTTACTGTCTCATAATTTGTTCTGGAATGAACTACAAATGGTGATGACATTAAACATTTAAATACTTCTTACAAAAGAGTTAGAAGGGGAAGATATATTAGTTCTCTGTGTAACAGGAACTTAACACACAGTCAGTGACATCAATCAGAGGAACGGTTTACTCTAGAACCCCAAATTATAGGCACCTGTAATGAGGCAGTTGCCCTTTCTCTTGTTTGTGGTGCCATTCAAAGCTAGTTATTTGGCAGCTTGCCTTCAGCTGGTTGCTCTATGTGTAGCTGAAACAAAAAAAATAAAATGACCCAACAGCCAATAAAAATATTAAAATAAAAAAAATGGGATGGTGAAAAATGGAAAAAGCCCCCTACCTCCCCCGCCCTCCAAAAAGGAAGAAGTGTAGGCTATAGACGAAATCTTGCCAAAAAAAAAAAATGTTAGAAACATATTTACTTTGAGGGATCCAACTCTACTAGCAACTCCTTTGCTTTCATCCGGCCGTCTAATTTGCTACAATGAGGGAAGATGGGTAAAAGAGACAGAATAAAGAAAAAGTGAACTTAAAAAATTTTCTACACATTAGTAACACATGCAAGAACATCAATTCTCTATTTTAGGTACATCTTAGGATGTAAGAAGTTAACTAACTTATAGGCTGTATGACATGCTCTGCAAATAGTCTGGGCACTAGAATTCAGTCTGTTTCAGGACTATTCCTGAGATGAGGAAATTGGCACTTACTTTTGGTTATCTTGGGGACTTCTGATGAAGCAGTATCTGGAGTAGTATTACATTTGCATTTGGCTTATGAAAAACAAAGAATTAAAAATATACCTATGCACTCTTCCAATGTTTTGTATCTGTTCCATTTCAATATCAGAAAACATTATTAGCATGACTAGAAACACGAGTGTTTTCTAGGTGAAAAGATCAGTCCTGACAAGCATCATTCTTGAAAAGTGACAGAGTGAAGCTCCTCTACTTGTTGACCCAAGCACTGAGGCTGCTCAGCTGTCACTGAGATTATCAATTAAACAATTGTGCTGCCCAAATAGAAAATTTTAATGCCAGACCAATATATTCACTCCCTCAAAGCTTTCTGTTATCCCAAATGAATTTTCCTTTTAGGTAAGGTAGGGAAAATAAAAAATAAAATCGCTGTTTTTAAAACTTTTTCACATCACTATATAAAAGAGCAACAGAAGATTCTTAACACCAAGTGTTTTATTAAGTAAGGTATTTTAAAACAGAGCTCTAATAAGAACTAATGTTTTATTAATTTAAGGAAGCAAGCCAGGCACAAAAAGGGTGAGAAAAGGAAAGAAGCTTCAGGCCATCGCACAACGATGGTCTCAATTCAAACCGGCACAGATGGAGTTGGCTGCGATGCTCCCTCTCATATTAGGATACAAAGGAAATATCAGTGTGATGCCAAGTTCCCGGCACTAAAGTCCTCAGAAAAAATAAGAAATCTGATCATAATACAAAATTTCATTTCCTGAAGCAGGATGTATAGACTGTCTTACCCGTTTAGGACACTTCTGATAGCATATGGATTACTGCTGAAAAATACTACGGAGAAAAATGAATTTGTTTTGAAAAAACACGTTTTTGGCACAGAGGAACTGCATCAACTTTCGGCTTGATATAACAAGTTTTTACTATTTCTTTAGTATTAGCCATTATTGTAAAAAAGACAATCACTAATTGTCACTCTTCTTACTCACACAGAATAGTCAAATTTACAAACAATGAATACTAATTAGAATGTCAACACCTTCTAAGAGTGGACCTCCTGATGGAGACTGTGTTCATAATACCTCCTCATTCTATTATGCTATTTCTTTGCTAATAGGGAACAGCTTTATATCAAAAGTGGTTTTCCATCTTAAATGGAAATTCACAGTAACTGGATAATAAAATAGACTTGGTAGTTTCCTATAAAAATATAAATTCAAATGCCTCATGCTGCTTTCTGAAAACTTACAGAAACCATTACGATTTCTGAAATGTTATATATCAACAAGTGAACATTTACTAGATTTTATTTGCCGAAGGCTTAAAATAATATTAAGTCCAGCAACATGAGATATCTTCTTCAAGATTAAGGAACAATATCCCAGTTCAAAATTTCTGGTTTGAAAGTGTATTTCCTTAATAGGCTTGGAAATAAATGGGCTAGTAAAAAGTTGATGCTTATAAGAGGATGTATATGTATATATTAAAATCTCCATTTTTGTTTGTCCATCTGTATAAGAAATTTTGTTACTGTATTTATAGATGAAGAAATTCTTCTATACCATTTCCATTCCAAATGCAAGTACAAGTTCATAAATTTACAGAAGAAAATGTAAAAAGAAAAAAAGATAATCATCACTGAACTGTGAATTTGAAAAGCAGGCTATAAGATTGATTTAAATAGAGACTCTGAGGGAGCAGATAGCTTATAATGTGTGACATCAATTTGCTATACACAACTCTGTCTTTGAAACTTTCATAGGAGGAAGACTTTAGAAAATCATTGTGGTTTTTAAAATTGGATGTGATTATAATTCAAGTTTCATTTCATTTTTTGTGGCTCCTGAAGCATATAATAATATCTAATTCTGAAAAAATTCATAAATTTGAAGATCTGTTTCTATACACTAAAATTTGAGAAACAAGGAATAGTGAAATCAGTGATGAAATTAATGTAATGTTCTCATTTTAGTCAACCTTTCATCATCAATTAGCATAGATAAGATATTCATAGCTGATCCAAATGACTAATTACTATTATTTTGGATAAGAATTTAAAAGAAATCACAAAAGATTAACATTTACATAAGATGAATTAATTTGCTTTTCATGATAATTATAAAAGCTGGCTGCTTTTATACATGCTTTTCTATGAGGCTAAACATTCTTTATCAATAGCTAAGAGAGTTTAAATTATTAGTTTTCATATAGGATGAATTTCCTTATCTGAAATGCTTGGGTCCAGAAGCGTTTCAGATTTTGAAGTTTTTTTTTCATTTTGATGCACACTTTTGAGCATCAACATGACATGCAAAAGGTTTTGGATTTTCACATTAGTGATGCTCAACTTATATCAAACATAGGATGAATGCAATATAAGTGAACTTTGAGAAGAGGATATTAAGAACTGTGAGGATCATGAGTCAGCTGAGATTACTGGTTTACAAACATAAGTTGAAAATTAACATGTTTATAGCAAAACAAAAAATATCATTGATGATTTCATCAACCTGAAGAAGGCTTTCACTGAGTTTGTTAAAAACTATTAACTATAGGATAAAGAACATTTAGATCTTCTATTCAGTCTCTTACCCAGCCTGAATATATTTAACAAACTTTCCACTAGAAACAGCCTGAAAATATAGCATTACACTATATCATCTCTTTTGAAAATTCTAGGAATCTTTATGGATTAATTATTGAGGAAATTACTCCCAGAGATCAATTTCTAGGATGCAAACTGTAAAGCAATAAAGTGACTATGCTGTTTTAGTTACATTTTTGTAAGTATTTGGATTTGGAAATATCATGCACCAAAAAAAAATTGCCTGGATCTTAATCTAATACGTGGCATTGATCTCTTTTGATCTGGCCCAATTTTCTGAAACTGAGCTCACTGTAAAGTCATTTCTCTTACTAACAAGGTAGAGATCTATCCTGCCCTACCCTCACCTCACTTGTCAAATAGTAATTATAAATTACATTTTCACTAGAACTAATACATATTTTGGAACAGAAAGTCAATTTTATATTATTAAAAAATAAAATATGAAGCTTCAATAAAATTTTAGGTTGTGGCAGCCGCATTAAGGGAGGCTTCTATGTTATCAGATATATGCATTTACAATTCTCTTTAGTTACAAGATGTTTGGTGAAAATGTTTTAGAACAGGTTGCATATTTTGTATTTGTTTATTTTACCAAGGAAGGAATTGAGTTAAGAGAGTTCAGTGGCTTTCTGAACACACTAATTATTAAAAAAAAGCACAGTAGATATTAATTTCTAATTTTCAAGTTTTTCATTAAATTGAGGCTCTCGCCTCTGGAATGAGTAACAGATCTACTTTTTTCCCAATTATATACTTTATATTGGTTTAGATAGACAAACATTTCAGCTTCTTAGTTTGTTTGCTCTAAGTATATCATCTTGTAAAAACGTTTTGCTTAAGAGTTCAACATTTAAACAAACTCCCATAAGTAATGAAATACTTTTGGGATCTAGTGAGTATTTCACTTCAGTATATTATTCATATTACATTATTCAGCCCTTTGGATAAAATTTGTGCCTCATTGTATAGCAACTCTGTTTCACTCATGATTTATTAAGTCAAAGCAAAAAGAGACAAGAGAACTAAGAATTATACAAATGTGTCAATGAAAAAATAATTAATGTGTTTCTGGAGGAAAGGCAATATGAGTATAAAAATCAATGAAAGTATAAAAAACACCAAGTGAAGTTACAAAGAGTAATGAAGAAATGAGAAGTCATAAAATAGCATCCTTGTAGCGTAGCAAGTTACAGATCTTTCATATACCCCTGCTCTTGCATATTTGAAGGCTTTGATTCTTTATCATCTATTAACATTTGTAATTATTTACTTATATTTTATTATATGATTGCAATTTTGATCCTTATATTCTAGAATAGCTTTGAACCCATAGACAATATAATGTCTGCAAAATGAGACATTTTTAAGTAAATTATTACTTGCCACTAGCCAGAGGATAATTTTATCAATGTTTTTTTTCTTCCTCAAATTTTTAAATCTGTCAAAAAGATACTACAAATTAGCTATATTAAAATAGATGACTTTTAAATAGTATATTATATGTTATTAATAATTTTTATTGGTTGTGTTTTAGAAAAGAATGTTTATCTTTGAATTTCCATTGAAATATGATATAATTTCCTACTCAGCAGGATTAAGATGCTTATTCTGGATATAAACAGTTATAAGTAACTAGAGTTGGCTCTATAAAGATTTACTATAAATCTGAAAAGTGGGCAAAAGGACATCTCTATCATGACTATGTCCTAATTTAAAAACAAAAACAAAAACCTATTTTCCTGATTATAAAAATAATATACTTTGCAAAAAGTAAACTATGGGTCCGTCCCTAAGCAGCTTTGTTTACTTTTAAAAACCATATTATTATGTTTCTCAGTCATTAAATATTCTGAAAGGTATGATTTTCTAAGATTATAGAATATCTGTATCTACAAGTTATTTAATATAAGCATTAATTGTGGTAATTTTTCTCTAATATAAACATGCTGTGCTAACTTTGTATGTAGTCTTTGATGGCCTTTCTAGTAATTTCTTTTGGATAAATTTCTAGAAACAAAGTCACTGGCTAAAAAAAATCAAGGTCATTTCTCTTTTTCTGTAAGGTATAATGCATTTCAAGCAAATGACTTATTTGCTTAAAAGGTTACACAAATTTATATTCCTATCATTGTGAATAATAATATTCATGACACTGCTCATTACA